ACACTGCTTTATTATTATCCAGTCCTCCTTCCTAGTCTTATCCCACTCTATCTTCCTTGCTCCGTAAAATTCATCTGCTCTCTCCGTCGTTCACCTATTTTACTCGACTCCTGTCTCCCCATCTGTACCACTCGAGGCTGCATGTACCACGTCTCTGGTACAACAGACCTACCGTCAGCCAACTAGCCCCGGTCCCCGCCGTCTCTAACCTGTTTCTATCCCTAATAACAAGTCTATGATTTGCCATGCCCTAGTCTCTTGTGTGCCAACCCACAAATGTTGTGGTACAGCTTGTTTTGATTTGGTTCAATGTTGAACCACAACATTTGTGGGTTGGGCATACAAGAGACTAGGGCATAGGAAATAATAGGTTTTGTATTGTAGATAGAAACAGTGGAAGCTAGAGCTGGTTGGCTAAAAATAGTCGTGATTCAAGGATCACGTTAAAGATCAAACACGTCTATTGTTAGCCAAACAGCTTTAGTCTCTACTTCGTCTTTCTTGTTTCTATCTGTAATAACATGACTATCATTTTGGGAATGTACTACGTCCACAGTTCAACTTTGGAAATGATAGAGGTTGTTTGACCTTGTTTTCGCAACATGTTCATGTTGGTAGGAAGACTTATTGAAACGCACCTATTCCGGGGTCGATTGTCTGCATGATCATTTCCAAAGTTGAACCGTCGACGTGGTACATTCCGAAACATTTCGCCGGCATCGTAGTCGGCATCGTCAGTAAGTATCGCCATCCTAAGCACCATACAGCGACTCGTCAAAGAGACAAGTGAAGCCGATCCTTTGACTAGACTTGTGCTAAACAATTACGGTATCTCTTCTTCTGCTGTTTCTATCCTTTATCTATCTATAATACAAAGCCTATTACTTGTGTGCCAACCCACAAATGTTGTGGTACAGCTTGTTTTGATTTGGTTTAATGTTGAACCGCAATATTTGTGGGTTGGCATACAAGAGACGGATGAAAGCTCAGCACGTGTTCACCGGAATCGAAGGAGATTGCCTAGGAAACCGCGTCAGCATGAATCTTCCAGTAGAGCCAATCGACAGCTGGTCAAGAGGAATTCGCCGTCGTCTTCTGGT